ATTTGTTATCTATTTCATCCCTTTTTTATTTGTCTGCTCTTCTTTCCTCTTCTCTTCTTTTGTTTTGTTTGTTTACATATAACTAATACTAATACCTCCTTGTTTTCTCTCTAATTTGTCTACTATGTCCCACCATCACGATGAGAGATGAGCTACCGTACATGGTACACGCTCATATACACTCCCAAAATAGTATGCCGCAAGTAAGTATATCACAGAGGCAACTAAAGATACAGAAACGAAAACCGATAACGCTGAAGATAATGAGCTTTGGTGATTTATATGACTAAATAGTATTATTTATTTATACTAACCTAAACACAACGTGGGGTGACCCAAATCCAAACGATCACTAACCAAAATAATAGACTTATCTTTTTTCAGCAGCACTACACCAGCCAGCAAAGTTCAACAATCCATCGTTGCTTATGCCTTTGTTGTCGTTTGGAACCAGTTTTGCAAGGTAGGCGACGATTGTGCGTATTTCTCGCGTAACTTTTGAAAAGAGCCTATTTATAGCCTGAACAATACGTAAAGAGCAAATTGAAACATTGAACGTGAACGTGAAAGTGGAACTTAATGAAGGCCTAAGTACTTTTTCGTAGTTTTTAGTTTTCGGATTTGAAAGATCGTCCGTTACAGTGGCCTGCTTACTGAGCAGAAAAACGCGGTCCCAGGTCCTTACATATCAAAGAGATTTATGGTAAAATCGCTTGTGTATCGTGTATTTTGTGAAACTCGTTGTTGTCGTTGGTTCCGGGTTTGAATGGATACAAAAATTTGAGCAACGGTATTATGTGATATGAGGGGCTCGGTGGCCTTAGAGCAACCGTTTTTGCTTACTGAGCAGAACATCATGAGTCTAATCTCAGGCCCATCCACATTCAAGATTCGTCAATCGTTAATATGACTACATGGTAATAACAGCAACTCGGTGATTAAAAAGGTGCTCGTCTGCCTAGTGGCAAACGTTTTTGCTTACTGAGCAGAAGACCGTGGGTTTAGTCCCAAGCTCCTTCGCGTTATATGATCGTTAGGGCATCAATTCAGCTTATCGTTTACCAAAACGAACCCTGCTGCAAACCCAACCCTCTTATCCAACATCCCAGTGATTCCTCGTGGAAGTGCAGAGGTGTTCTCGGCTTCCATCAAAGCGAGTGTCATGTCAACACAATCCTTCCCATTCCTTTCTTGACCTGTGTTCGGGCGCGGCCGGCGCTGGTATTGCCTAATTTAAGATCACCAGTTTTTACACATTGAGGATGATTGCTAGTCCCAAGCATCGTCTATTGGTTCTCTGTGTAATTACAGCTGATCTGGCAATAACAGAGTAGCAACCGTGGGCGGTCAATCAAGCTCAAGCTCAAGCTCAGCTAGATCAAATTACTGGTCGCAGTAGTTTTATGTCCCGAATAGAGGAAAAAAAAAAGAAAATGAACCTCCATCAATCTGTTTCAATTCTTTTGGTTTTATTTCATTTCATCACGAATATCATAAAGTCGCTCTTTTCACAAAGCATTCTTGCCTGTTATTTGTCATCCAAACAAAAAGTTGGTTTCCCATAGAGAAATACCATGAAGGACAATCCCTTTATTTACGTTGTGTGGCAAAATCTACTATTTGCAAGGGTGCAAGTGTTAAACTAGGATTATCTGTCACCTTGCTCGGGACTTGATTTGTGGCGTCTAATTTCTCACACCCTAGTCATTATTTCATAATGTAAATAGGGCAGTGTGTCAATTGTGTTACTAGTACCCCAGTTTTTGGTCTTAGGATCTTAATTAAATTTGAAATTAATTTTCTCGGATTTCTTTGCGTAGATATATCGTAAATTCGTAAAGCAAGAAAAAATATAATATAAAAGAGGGCCAATCAGAGGACCATCAATGTGAAAGTGGATCGGTTCAGAATGACTCACTTCATCGATTTTTTACAAAATAACGCAAAGCTCAATCGACAAACTCCTCCGTGCAAAATTGGAGAACTGGAATTCCTTTCTCTAGCAATTCACACAAGATTAATATATTGTTTAGGTTTTCAGAAATCTATTCCCTAAGTTCAATTTTAGGACCACAATCATAGTGGTTGCTTACGTTGCTCATCAATTACACAAGTATTTAGTATGAAAGGTCACATTTGACATCCGTAGATCGTTTTAAAACATTGTTAGTAGTATTTCCTCCCAGATTTCCTACGAATACAATTAACCTGTAAAATGCATTATTTCAATACAAACCTTTATTTATTTTTTGTCACGCTACCCCAAGCATTAGATTTTGTTTTCGCATGTATTTGTGCGTAAGCAGTCTCCAAGTTGAAGAATAATGTGTCTTGAAACGCTCACCCAAAACAGAGAAGCGAAATGAGCCGCACGACGGGGCAATCCATAAATTAATTTGCAAGAAAAACCATCAACACCGAGAGCATGATCAAACTCGCGCGTGACGTTTTTCGTTCACAATAATTGATGAATATTGTAAGATATCTTTTTGTTTTTCAATTTCAAATATTCTGCGAAAATTATCGATACTTGAAAAAGGATGTAATAATTATTCGGCAATGTCATCTATGCATTAAAGCGGAACTCCTTAATGAAAGCGTTTGAAAATAAATAAATAGATAGTAAAAATAACGATAAATTGAGAGTAAATCATGTTGGATACACGCGAGGGGTTCGTCAAATCTTAATCTCAATTTCAGATGCTCGAAAAATCTCACACTAACGAAACAATCTACGCAAAATACTCTTTCATTTTTCATTTACTTTTTGCAGGAAATCTTCAGAATCGTCATCAATCTTCCTTCTATCTACTCAGTGTGCGTGCAGTTAACCACAGCAAAACAAAATCTTTCCTGCATCGCGTGTGTTTGTGAAATAATAAAAACAATTCAAGTGTGTGTTGCTTAACAAGAAGCGTTGATTAAGAAACCAAGCTGCAGTGAAAGTGCATAGTTCGAAAATATATTTCAAGAAGCGAAAGAAAAATTCGATTATCGCGTGGTGGAAAAACGAAATTTTAAAACGTATCCCAAACCTGAATCATCTGATAGTGAAAATGGTGGTTCATCACCGGAAGTTGCGAAGGCTCCTCGAAAGAGAAACAGTGTTCCTGGTGCGGCCCGCACGAAGAAACAAAAGCTGAAAGACGAAGAATTTCAACAGGCATTGCTATAGGACGAATCAGAATCTTCTGAGACAAACCAGCCAATACGTGAAAGCTTCGAAACTGAAGAGGGATGGCGAAAGGTAAGTACAAACCATTAATTTTCAATTACAGTAGCCTACTGCATATTTCAAATTTGTACGCTGGTGGTTACGTTCCATGTAAAATCATGTGCTGAATCCAAAAATGTAGCCAGAAAAAAATCTAAGTAGGATAGTTTTCTAGATACATCTTAAACAAAAATTCACTCAAAAAATGTATTTACTACAATACAAATATCTCCGGCTGTAATGAAGCTATATAAATTATTTTAACGCCAAATTAATGACAAATTGATAAAATTTTACACACCATTTTACATAAGAATCATAGGTCAAACATTGGAGTTTTTTTACTTTTATTTGTAAACTAGTGTTTTTACTATTTTTATCATTATTTTTAGACAATTAGATAAAATGAACTAGGGGAAATGGCTCTAATGTTGGCTTATGGATCAAAGATTGGGTCCATCGCTAAAAATCTGCTATTTATCAATTGTATCTAGATGAACGCGTCATTGGGACGGTACTAATGGATATTTTTGGTTGCTATTGAAAATTTAGTTGATTGCTGAATTTATGTATGGCCCCAAATAAGGGACACTTAGGCCGAAATTACATACCCCTTTTTAAGAAATTCAAAATATTTTTCAAGATAAAAACATAAATTGAACTATATCTTCAACTATTTTAGAAATCATAAACCTTTGCCAATATCATAAACCTTTACCAATATATTTTAAACCTTATTGATCATTGCCACAATTTGTTTCTCAAGTATTTGAATATATTCTGAGTAAATTTCATCCTATTTGACAGAGGTATTTTGATGTGTGTCTGAATATTTTTGAAGATAATTAGAAAAATAGAACTTTAAAAAATCGCCATTTTGAAAATTATTCGCCATCTTGCATCCACTATTGTGAAAGTAAACCAACATCCAAGAATTGAAATGGCAGGACTTCCCTGAACTTCAGTAGGGCTATGTCTATGGTGGCAATCGATCAGCGTTACATTGCACAGTGGGCCAGGAATTAAATCTAGTTGGAAAAAAATAACGTCTTCAGTGAAGTTTCTTGAAATAATTAGGACTACAATTTTTTAGACAAAAATAGTTCAAGTTTTTGCCACAAAGATGGCGAGGCGATACAATTTTTTATATTGCACAAGATAAAGGTTTCCGGACTTGGGCAAAGTTGTAGAACGTAGAATCTTTTGGAAAATTCCAGAAGACATGAAAGATGTACATCTTCAAATAACTGAGATTTGGATGTTTTATAAAATTTGTCTGAAATCTCCGTTTTAGTGTTTTATTTTGAGCACTCGTTCAAAAGAATTCTTTATATTATTTCTTTGATCGGTACTGATCAATCTAATCTTTTCCAGATCAATGCTATTATATTATGAGAAATAAAAAAAATGTGTAATGAAATTTGGAAAAAAAATCATTATTTTCTGAATACATTTTAAAAAAGATGCGCAACCGAACGCAAAGTTTCATTAATTCTTCAAAATTTAAATCAAATAGACAATTATGCCTCAAAATATGTCAGGTGAATGTAATTGAGAATTGAATTGAAAATTTAATAACAATTTCAATTTATTTCTGCTTTGTGAAAATAAAAATGATCAAACATGAAACACATCACACACGTCTAAACAACAAATTCGTGAACCGTGATGGGAAAGTTTCACTAGGCAAATATCGTAAAATATCACGAACTTTTCCAATACTGCTTCCAAACATTTAACAGAAATCATCAAAACTTAAACTCTTTTACGTTGAAAATCGATTGGTGGCCCTGAAAAGGGCCGATTTGTAGTTTCGATGGTACGAATTTATTTGGAGCTGGTGTACTTGGTGACGGCCTTGGTTCCTTCGGAGACGGCGTGCTTGGCCAACTCACCCGGCAGCAGCAGACGGACAGCGGTTTGGATTTCGCGAGAGGTGATCGTCGAGCGTTTGTTGTAGTGAGCCAGACGGGACGACTCAGCAGCGATACGTTCGAAGATGTCATTGACGAAGCTGTTCATGATGCTCATGGCCTTCGACGAGACTCCGGTATCTGGGTGGACCTGCTTCAACACTTTGTAGATGTAGATGGCATAGCTTTCCTTCCTGCGTGGCTTCCTCTTCTTCTTGTCTCCCTTGACGATGGCCTTCTGAGCCTTGCCGGACTTCTTGGCGGCCTTTCCACTGGTTTTTGGTGCCATAGTAAAGCTGTTAACTTGGGTACAGAATAACTAATAATTTTTGTAAGACGATGGTGTTTCTTTTTATACCCGTAGAATGGCAACCGACACTCGTCCCCTTTTATGTATTTTTATCAAAACCCGTTTTATACTACCCTCTTTGTATGTATAATATGCTGCTCGACGCAGGTATAAAAGCAACTTCGACGAGCTAAAACGGCATCAGTACAGTTTGAGCATAAAGCTGCTCGTTTTATTTTCACATCGTAATCTACCCTACTACATCGAAACATGTCTGGCCGAGGCAAAGGTGGAAAAGTTAAGGGAAAGGCAAAGTCCCGCTCGAGCCGCGCTGGATTGCAGTTCCCAGTTGGTCGTATTCACCGTCTTCTGAGGAAGGGCAACTACGCCGAGCGCGTTGGTGCCGGTGCTCCTGTCTACCTGGCTGCCGTGATGGAATATCTGGCCGCTGAAGTTCTCGAGTTGGCAGGAAACGCCGCCCGTGACAACAAGAAGACTAGAATCATCCCACGTCACCTGCAGTTGGCCATCCGCAACGACGAGGAGTTGAACAAACTGCTGTCCGGGGTGACCATCGCCCAGGGTGGTGTTCTGCCAAACATCCAGGCCGTCTTGTTGCCCAAGAAGACCGAAAAGAAGGCTTAAATTTGATCGGAGACCACTCCCAACATGTACAAAACCGTCCTTTTCAGGGCGACCAATTTGATTTCACCAACTAAAGAGTTTGATTTATTGGCATTTTTTAGTTCAAATGAAGGCATATTTGCATATTCCAATATTTCATTCCTATGAGGCACCCCTCTATACAATAAAATGAGAGATGAAAAATATATTCTTAATCGACCAATGCATAAATACCACCCGATTTGTGGCTGCTCTGCAATTTCGTTTCCCCAGCTACCTGGTGAAGATTATCTCGGACTACCTCGACGGCAGGACGTCTCAAGTATACGTAGGCAGTGCTCCCTCCCAGTCCCTCAAGGAAGCATCCTGGGACCCATATTGTACCATCTGTACACATCGGACATACCGACACTGCCGGAAGGTGGAACACTGTCGCTGTTTGCTGACGATTCGGCAATCAGCTACAAGGGACGAGTAATGCGCACTCTCGTATCGAAGTTCCAAAACGGATTGGATGTTTACACCATTTATCTCACCGACTGAAAGATATGTGTGAACGCGGCCAAAACGCAAACCATTGTGTTTCCGCATAGCAACACCGACCGGCTCAAACCGTCATCAAAGATAAAGGTTCTGAACGCTGAAACTGAGTGGTCACCCGAGGTACGCTACCTTGGCCTGATTCTCGACAGTAAGCTCCTCTTCCGGTCGCTCGTGGAAGACCGAGTCAAAAAAGGCACCATGATGCTGAAACGTCTGTATCCGATCATCAACCGTCAATCGAAAGCATCCACCGTCAACAAGCTGGCTGTCTACAGGCAGATTGTTGCGCCTATGCTATAGAATGGGTCTCCGGTATGGAAAGGTTGCGCTAAAACACATCGGAAGAAGCTCCAAGTCTTGCAGAACAAGTTCCTGAAGATGATTCTGAATCTGCTTCCGCGCACACGGATAGCCGACGTTCATGGGCTGGCAAATCTCGATCAAATCAACCAGGGAATGACTGCGTTCGCCAGTTTGCACCAAACTAGGACACTAAATTCAGAGTACGAAAAAAATAATAAATCTTTACCAATAATTTTGTAAATAGTATGTATAGTAGTATATTGTAGTTATATAGGAAATTTAAAAGTAGTCCAGTTTTCCGTTACTGTTCCGGATTGATCGTATCCGTGTTCCAAACTGTAATCGTCCTCACCTTACGAGATTCACGGCACCGGTCCAACAGACACTTGAATCTGCATCAACTAGAACTAGAACCGATAGGACTAAGGACTAACTCTTGTGCAGAAAAGGCACGGAATCTTAAAAAAAAAGCAAGTATTCAGTCAATTTTGGTTTTCTCAATCGGTAGATAAGACATGCACGGAGAGGTGATTGGAATGACTTCCCGCTAAAATGTTTTGATCGACCCATTTGCTTATGCTTTTTTCTAGCGTCTTAAAGAAAGCCTCACCGTTATATCTGTTTTTGAGTAAAGCAAACTGATAGTTGTTACTTCCACCAAAAACAACTGTACATGCGAAAGCATCAATTTTAGGGACAACAATTTAAATTGCAATAGGAATTTTCCATCTAAACTCTCTTGTGGATTGCGAGTAGTGGCCCTGAAAAGGGCCTGTTTTAAAACGGTGCGTTGGAGAAATTTAAGCGCGTTCACCACGGATACGACGAGCCAGCTGGATGTCCTTTGGCATGATCGTGACACGCTTGGCGTGGATGGCGCACAGGTTGGTATCTTCGAACAGACCGACCAGATAGGCCTCACTGGCTTCCTGCAGGGCCATGACGGCCGAGCTCTGGAAGCGCAAGTCGGTCTTGAAGTCCTGAGCGATTTCACGGACCAGACGCTGGAAAGGTAACTTGCGGATCAGAAGTTCGGTCGATTTCTGGTAACGACGGATCTCACGCAGAGCGACGGTTCCTGGCCGATAGCGATGAGGCTTCTTCACTCCTCCGGTGGCCGGAGCGCTCTTGCGAGCGGCTTTGGTGGCCAGCTGTTTGCGAGGAGCCTTTCCTCCGGTGGACTTACGTGCGGTCTGCTTGGTACGAGCCATTATGTTTAGTTACGATGCGGATACGATGAATCGAAGATGTTGAATAAAAATTTTGACCGTCTTCCCCTCGATTTTATACCATAATTTTGCTATGTTCAACCAATCACAAATGATGTAAGAACAAGAGGACAACAACTAGCAAGAAGAATCTAACCCTCGAATGGGTATAAAAGATGCATTAATGGTCAAATTAAGAATCATTTTCGTTTCAATCGTACCTGAAGACAGTATCAATCAGCATCAACAATGACCGGACGTGGCAAAGGAGGCAAAGGACTCGGCAAAGGAGGAGCTAAGCGTCATCGTAAGGTGTTGCGTGATAACATCCAGGGTATTACCAAGCCCGCCATCCGTCGTCTGGCTCGTCGTGGTGGTGTCAAGCGTATTTCCGGGCTGATCTACGAGGAAACCCGAGGCGTGCTGAAGGTGTTCCTCGAAAACGTGATTCGTGACGCCGTCACCTACACTGAACACGCCAAGCGTAAGACCGTCACGGCCATGGATGTCGTCTACGCTCTGAAGCGACAGGGACGCACTCTGTACGGTTTCGGAGGTTAAATCAGCATTATCAACTCTAGCATCAAAACGGCCCTTTTCAGGGCCACAATATGAATCAAAAAGAGTTTTTGATGGCAACTTCTTGCAGCATCTTTATTTGAAATTTTTTTAAAAGCCTTGTACCACTTTTTTTTCTTGGCCTATTTTTGTTCACATTCTTTTGTCACGAACTGTGTTCGGGTGTGGACATTTTTGCATTTCGGTTATTTTGTGTATATTGTTTTCACACTTCTACAGTAGTAGTAAAATTCCGTTTATTTCTGTTGATCATGATTGTACATTGTAGCCTATCTGGTTCTTCATCTTTGTTTCATTGGATATTCTAATTTAGTATTTGCGTTTTTCAACTAGTTTATAGGGGTGCGTTGAAAAATGTGATAACCTAACTATCTAAAGTGCTAGATCACGTATGATCTGATCTCAGACAGGTGTCTTTGAACCTTTCCAGGATGAATACTCTGCGTTTTTCTAATGTCTGAATTCCAGTCAGAAGGTGGATCTCAGAATTTTGAGTCCGCGGGACAGTTTAGGATCAGCCTAACGATCTTGTTCTGGATCCTTTGCAGTTTAAGATGATGGTATTTGGAACAGCTCTCCCAGATTGGCATACCATACTCAATAACAGGTAGAATTAGTTTTCTATAGACAGCAAGCTTAATTTTTCAGGGATAAGATGGACTTCTTGTTTGAACTTCCTTTGTTTCGCTAGCAGTGGATTGTCAAAACATTGCTATTCAGGCATACAAAGCCAAATCTAAAGTGAATATTTCGACCATTCTTATTTCTAATGACAGTATTGCATGAATCCGACGAAGTATGTTCTTGTTATTCAAATATTAATGTTTTTTGAAGATGACTATCAGGATCATAATGCAAGTTGTTTAAGATTACTTCTGTTGAAAGAAGAAAATGATCATCCACAAAACATTCAAATGCGGCCCAGAATTGCAGGAAACTAACAAAGGCTCATGAAACGGGTAGAAGCATAGCTACTATATACACTCTGAGCAATTTGCTTCTTGCTACCAAGCTCTCAACGGAAACTACATTGAATAGAAATTATCATCCAAATCCTACCTGTTGATACATACGTCGTCTCTTATGGAAGGTAGAAATATTAAATTAACGTTAGTCTATTTGTGAAAATAAACGATAAAATAGGTAGACAAAAGACAGCACACATCAAGCGTCATCGTCATTAATGCATAAAACAGTAACGTCTATTTTAATGAGATTGTTGAAAACTGCGGCGAAAAACTGCACGTCTTGCTTGATAATTTGTCTGTATTCAGAAGGGATAAGTTGGGAATAGAAATAATAGATAGGATGGATTGAATTTGAAAATTTGATGCGAGATTTGGGTAAAAATGGGACAATCCTAAAGTGTCGTTCCCCCTGGTTGTCATACATGTTATGGGCCATTTAATGAGGGAGTATTCTTAACGTTCAGGATCTACAGGCGATATTATTAAAAATGACGAGTTTCAAGAGAAAATGAACAAAAAGGGAATTTTACACTCAACACAAATAAAAATTAATCAATTTTTCGATCATAAATTTAATTAATTGCATTGAGAAACATATTGCTTAACCTTCAATTGAAAATTGTGGCTAGTCTTTCAGTATACTGGAGAACAATGTTCAACACCACGCGCCGAAAGCACGGCTGCTGATGATGACTGACCGGACACTACCACACACGGTGATTGACCGAGACCGAATGGAATTCGATTTTGAAATCTATGTTAAGGAAAGCGCTTCTTGCAGGCAATCGATGATAATTTTGATCACCATTGCAACAGTTGGACATTTGTGTAATATTCAATAGTGTGCTATTGAAAATTAATAAAATTTTCATTTAAGCAGATTCACAGAAAAATGATCAATCGATTGGCTTATTTGGAATTAAAATCCATTCGGGATTGACAGAGTTATAATTGGTCAAAACCTGACCACTTTCGTAACACGGTCGATTTAGGTTTTTTTGAAATTACACCTCCAAATATGTTGCCGAAAGACGTAATCATACGTCAAAAGATTATTCCAAAAGCAAACTCTTGATGGAAATCAATGATGGTAGCCCTGAAAAGGACTGATTTGGGTGATTATTTCGTGTATGACACACGTTGGGGGCGTCGTTTCCAAGTTTACTTCTTGGCGGCGGCCTTCTTCGGTGCAGCTTTCTTGGCTGGGGCGGCCGTCTTCGGCTTCGGGGTCTTTGGCTTCTTGGCAGCGGTCTTCGAGGGCTTGGTGGCCTTTTGCTTGGGAGCAGCAGCCTTCTTCACAGTTCCGGCCTTCTTGGCGGCCTTGGCAACGACAGCTTTGGCTTTCTTCACACCGGCAGGCTTCTTGGCTGCCGGCTTTTTGGCCTTCTTCTCACCAGCAGGTTTCTTAGTGGCGGGTTTCTTGGTGACCTTTTTCTTCTCACCGGTAGCCTTCTTTGCCTTCTTCTCTCCGGTGGCCTTTTTAGGTTTCTTTTCGTCGACCTTGAGCTTGAACGATCCTGAAGCCCCGGATCCCTTGGTCTGGACTAGAGTGCCCTTCTCGACACCGCTGACCAGAGCCTTTCTGATGAAGATGGACAGCTTGGCAACGTCGCACTTGTAGTTCGCAGCGATGTACTTCTTGATGGCCTGTAGGGACGATCCTTTGCGTTCCTTCAGGGTCTTGATAGCTGCAATGACCATCTCGTTCGCTGGTGGATGAGTAGCTGGCTTCTTTGGCTTCTTAGCGTCTCCCTTGGTGGCCCTGGCCTTCTTCGGAGTCTTGGCTGGCGAGGCAGCAGCAGGCGCCGCGGCGGCAACTTCAGCGGTTTCAGTCATGATGATTCACAGGGTTTCGTTTGATACTAGTATGTAGGTTAAAATGAACGAATAAACATGTATGATGAACTGACAGTCGTTTGACTCTGATGTCTGTGTTAGGGATAAAGATGTTAACGGAAAACATGAGTTCATGTGATATATTTTAATTTCTACCAGAAATAGTTTTTAAAACAACGGTTTCTACCAAGTGCAGGTTGATAAATGTGCTTGTGTATATTTCTAAATAGCGAATCGACTATTGTAGTTCTCAAAAATTAGCTTTGTAGTGGACTATATTTACTAGAAATACCATACAATTATCTTCTTTTGAGAAATGTTAGAATCAACTAGCAAATAGTTGTTGAAAATCAATAATATTCACCTATTGAAACAATATTGATTGTTCTGCAAGTTGGTCGCTCTTATAGACAAATATTTCCGCTACACATTGGCATCAATTTTATTGTTCTATTAGCAGAACGTTCCGTTTAAATTTGATATTTACCTGAATGATCAATGCGGTTATACTTTTCTCAATAGCATTATTCATGATGCCTCAATCATGGGTGTCCCGTGATTAATTATTATGGAAAAACTTTAACCCTTTTTAAGTCAATTCTCTTGGAATATAATGATTAAAAATAAATTACTCAAGTTTGAAGAAAAATCAGACAAGGCTATAGGACAATCTCAAAGTGAAACATCATTATTCTAGAAATCTTTGACTCGCTGTTTGATCATTAAACTGGAAAAGCGAGAGCTCTCAGCAAAAGGGATGTTTGATTGCTAAGTCGCAGAAAATGTCACAAAATTCACTGTTTGCTGAAATCGCAGTAAGTGCTGAAGTGCTTGAATTAAGTGTGTAAGTAGTTGGAGTCGAGAAAAGTACCGGCTCGGATACCGACTGATCTGCAAAATAATATTAATTAGAACGTTCCGAACCATGAATTATCATATTTGAGATCAAGGAACTTTGACCTGAAAGAAATTATGGACAGTTCAGGGAATTGATTTTTTTGTTTTTAGGGCCCTAGCACAATTTCCTGATGATCTCAAGCTTTTACAACTTTCCCGAACTTCAAATACTTTAAACATCCATAACGGTGAGAGACACCCTCTGAAAGTATCACCAGTGAAAAATAAGAATCTTTTAAGCAAAAGCACTTTTTTAGGATAACTATCGCAACTCGGAAAATAATTTTTTCTGATTTTCTTATTTTCTCAAACCATGAAAAACCATTTTCTGGTTAAATTTTTATGATCGGTTTATGAGTTATGGGTTTTTATAGTATTGAAAGTACGGGTAAATCGGAACGATAAAATAAACAAAAAAAACATTAACGTCTCATCGGAACGATGTTTTCCTACACAACTCGTACACGGCCAACTACAACATCTCAGTGACTGAATTCAATTGACTCAGAGCATTTTCTTTCCATACGGAATTTACTCATATTTGAAAAAAAAACTGCAGTTACTCATTAGCTATGATTTTGTTTTTTTTTCAAATATGAGTAAATTTCGTACGGAAATAAAATGCTCTGAGTCAATTGAATTCAGTCGCTGAGTTGTTCACTCATAAAATAAATCACATAACCAGTGGAAAATATCTATGTGAATTTCACATAACTTTCATGTGATCCAATGAAATCGATATGATTTCTCATATAGAATTTCTTATGCTATGTGATATTCAGATACAAATCATTATTTTGGTTATTGGAAAAATATTATGTGTGTTCCTAATAGAAACTAAGTGAAAACTTTTTCAGTGTTGTAGTTGGCCGTGTACGTTGTATTGGAAGCAGTGCTGCCCAATTTCGACAATACATGGTGATACTCAAAATTCTGCTTTGGTCACTCGTTTGAGCTAACAGTCATGTCAATTGTCAGTGGCATTTTTGTCAGTGACGAACATGTGCTGATTTGTTTATTAGCTAAATTTAAAATGAAATAAAATGGCTTGAGGAAAACAATTACATAGAGCCATTAAAGTGAACAAGCATCTACGTCCTGAACAGCTTGGATAACAAAAATGTGACTCAGAATGCAAGAAATTACCCTTTCTGTTACCAGGTGAATCTTTGTCATTGACGAAAAAATGAATGAGATTTTGACAAAGATTTTTTTGAGGATCAAGTCTATCATTGACTATGTGAAAAACAATTTTGTCAA